AGGGAGAGAGAGAGAGAGAGAGTGAGAGAGAGAGAGAGAGAGAGAGAGAGAGAGCACTGCCTACCTTTCCTTCCCCCATGCGCCTTCTTCCTGCCGTCCACCTGAGAGTGAGAGATAGCCAGTAGGACAACCACCATCACTGCCACACGCCACACAGTCCCTGAAGTCATGGTTAACCCCGATCTTGTTAGAAACAAAGCCTCAGAAAAAAAATCACAGCCTGCTTCCAGACACAACAAAAGTGGACCCGTACTTTGAAACGTTTCTCCGAGAGTAACTACTGCAGTAGTCTATCACTGTCACTGATCTGATCATGCTGGTGTGACGACTTCCACTCGTTCACAAAAAAAAGAAACAATCCGCTTACAATCTCCGAAGTAAACGTTTGGTGACAAAATCACTGCGAAGTTTGTCAAGAATCTTCCGGACACAAAACGTGATTCTGCACAAAAATGCCAAGCCCGAACTCAGAGCAAATAGCAGAATAATTTATTATCATAACCAATACTATTTTTAAAAAACTTACACTAACCTCTTCAAGTCTGTGTAGATATTTAAGTAGTATCCCCTACTACTGTCCTCCCAAACTGGTTCACTGGCATAACATTAGATAGCCAAGTTTTTTTGAGGGTTTGTCAGATCGTCCGGTATTTGCAACTTGTGGTGTTATATATTCTTTAAAAAATTGGATAAATAAATTATAAGGGCTTTGTTTAAATATGTTTTAGAAGAATATTAATTTCTTTCGGCTGTTCAATCGTAAAAAGAAACGCCCCAACACTCAAAAAGCTAATTCTACACACTAAGACTTATCTCTCCGTTCTTTCCCCACTGGAAAATCAGCCGACGTGAAAGCCTCAGGGCCCGTGTGTGTTTGTAAGGAAAGGCTTTCTAACCTCCCCGCTGACAGTATTGTCGGGGTTGTGTGGGTTTGTTCATGAAAAGATTCTAAACAGGACTGACAGCATGCAGTCTCCTGGAGAGTACTTCTTCAGCTTCAGAAAAACAATCGAAAACAAATCTGTTCTTATGACGTCATTGTCTATGATGTTGAAATAGTCCAGTATTTTGTTCAAATACGTTAACAGGACCGCTCGTGCACGCTCAAAGTAGCATCACACTCCAAGACAAGAGAAGCAAGTCGTGGACTCCAGAATTGATAAACGTACATTGAAGTTAAGATGACCCCTTAGCGCATCCAGGGGAGCCCCAGTGACAGAATATAACGCCTAACTGTGCCCAACACCAACACACAGAAAGTTCTCGATCGTATACAGATTAAATTATTATGTAAAGTTCTTGGATTATACTAAAGTCGGACTTTAATATTTTTTTCCACACCAGTCCGATCTAGCTGTGAAAGGACGTCTAGGCGAGTGACATGTTTACTCTCTACGTCACACTTCCTCTGTCTCCGAGTCCTGAGTACGTTCACAAGAGGGGGGGGGGGTGGTTGGTGAGGAGCCGAGACTCCTCAGCTTCTGCTCACGTTAGCCGATTTCCTACAGCTCGCTGTACAGCTTGTGGGTGTGACCTTGACCCCAATAGTCTGTCCAGTAACAGCAGGACGAAAGACTCGGGCGCTTACTTACACTAGAAGTGATGACGTAGTTGAGGGTGTAACGTCAGCCAACAGAACTGGACACAAAACGACTGGCTCATCAGACGGACAGAAGACGCCACCAGAAAACGTGGAAATTGGGCGGCTGAGTGGTAAGTCCAACAGACACTAGCGGTATATTGAATCAGTTCAACCCCACAGCAGAACCGCTAGACTCACAGCAGACGGCAGTGGCTGGAGCAGATGGCCACAGAAATAATTATACCGAGATGTGCGGAGCGTTTCGTACACGCATACACGCACACACAGCGTTTGGCACACGCACACACACACACACACACATATATACACACAAAAAAAACAAATCTTTGGAGTTTGAGAACCTTCTATGACGCACCACCACCCGTCCTGGTGTTCTATCTCGCCCAGAAGACCGCAGTGTCTCCTAATCCAGGCGGCGTATTGTCCTGTTGAGGGTTGGCCAATCCTCGGTGCCAAGTTACAAAACCGGTCGCCACAGAGAAAGGCTGAGATTACCAAAGAAAGAAAGAAAAACTGGGAAAAAACACCCAACAACAGTCACACAGTCTTGACACTCGTTCGTTCCTCTCCGGCTCAAAAGGATTCACAGAACGAAAGATTGTGAAGGAATGATATCTTCTTCTTCACCATGGATGAGTATCTTCTTCGATAACGATTAATGAACCCTTCACTACGAAACATTGTCTCCTTCACTAAGGAATAGAGTCTAATCAAATGTCTCCTTCACTAAGGAATAATCACAAAGAAATAATCAAAAGTCTCCTTCACAAAGAAATAATCAAAAGTCTCCTTCACAAAGAAATAATCAAAAGTCTCCTTCACCAAGGAATAATTAAATGTCTCCTTCACTCATTCACAATGTCTCGTTCGTTAAGACAGGCCTACGCTTAACACCACAGAAAAATTATCCCAACTGTGGATGCTCGTCCTCCTAAGAGAGTCTGTTTGTTCCCCTCTGGAATGTTGCAAGTGTTGGAGATTCCTGGACAGCCGATGAAAGGAAAGGTAGCAAATGACAGCCTCAAACACAAACGCATCACAGCATGGTAATAATATAACACAAACACATCACAGCATAATAATAATATAACACAAACACATCACACCAGATTTCACGAACGCATCACATTTAAATTATGCACACCATTTCCTACCGACCACCGTCACCTTTTCCCCCTACAAAATCAGACGAGCACGAAACTCCTAAACACATCCTTTACAGTCCGTATCAATTAATTTCAAGCGCTGGTATAGATAGTCATGCCTGAGACTGAGCCTTGACAGGAGAAGAGAGACGAGACGATAGGTCTACTACGGTTTCTGAGTCGATGAGGCATACACGATTTAATCACACGAGAACATACCACCACCATCTCTTCCTAACAAGTAGCGACGACGAACGCCCTATGTACCGGTCCAACTTTCAACTGCACTTCTACGAGCATACAAAGGTAATTCCTCCTCACTACACTTCTTCTCTTTTTCTCTCAAAGACTTCCCAATCTCTTTATTTTCCACTCGAGCCACCCATCCCCACCCCCGGCCCCATCCTTTTTTCTTCTCTCCCTCCCTCCCCCACCCACCCTCTCCCCTTTCCCTCTTTTCTC